CTGAGTCTGAAGATCCATAGTGAGGTTTATATGTTCACACCAGAAGAATGTTCATAGCGGAATTATCATTTGTGCGAAAATTTTGGCGGGAAAAATTACTACCTCAGGAACCACGAAAGCTATGAAGCTGAAATTTTAAGGGGATGCCCTTCGCGCACCTATGCGAATTTTAATTTATTCTTCACTTCGCCTAAGTAGCACTTCAGATCACCGGTCAGAAATTTTTATTTTGCTTGGTTTCAATAACAATTTCTACTATTTCGGCTATGCTTTCAATCACCACAAAAAAGCTTTATGCCTCCCAAGAACTTTTCTCAATAATAGCCTACCACCCCCACGTCTTTTCAAAAAAGTCCTGAAACTATACCAGTTCTTTTACCATCGAACTACATCGGATTCATTAGCATTCTATTAGAGATGAATGAGATCCGACGAAATAAATGAAATAACTGGATAGCTATCAAATCACAGCATAAAGCAAATAGTGATTTTCCCAATCACTGTAACCAAGTGTTACATGGCCTGATGGTCAAGTTGCTGACACTGTTAATTTTGCTTTGTTTCTTGAAGGGTTTACCAACTCACTGGTTCTTCTAACAAAAGCATCTAGCAAAGTTCTAGCCGTTTTGAGTTGTCTTTGGAGAGAGTTAAGCAGTACCATCTCGTTCCGAAAAATGCTACTTCGGGACCATAAAAGGCGTTCAACTTACCAACTAGGAATTTAATCGGATGAAAATTGTTGAACTTTTCCTTGCCCATTTCATTTTTTGCTTAAATCACAAAATAATCGAGCAAAAAAAAAGGAAATACCTGAACATGTTCATGCATAACATCACGAAGTACAGCTGGCTCCAGCCAGAAACGATACATCGGATTCAAAAAGAAGCTGACAGCTCGGATGAGAATCAGCTGAAAAAAAAAATACAATTAAAATACTTTTATGCCCGAATTTTTAATAACGTGGTGCTAAAAGAACATAGGAGAGGTGGACCAACGCGGTAAAAATCCGCTTGCACTGGAACTCCTTCCACAACGGGCCATGTGAATGCAAAAAGGCTGCGCGAGGAGGAGAATGAAGAAGTTGACAGTTACATCACTGGGAAGAATAAACGCGACGGCCTTGTTTTCACTTTTTTCCAAAGAAAAATGAAAGATATGCTATATTTCCCCATTCAGAGATTCTGTCGCAAAATAAGCAATCAGGCAAGCTTACCGTATCTCGTTCCAGTTCCGAAAATCTATTCCGCAAACGCATACGGCGAAGCTCCGAAATTCTGTCAATTTCATCAAATTGCCGTTTCTTTCGTCGAGGATACAATGACATACCTTTGTGAGTTCTACGCATGGTACCAGGATTTGCTCGTACCAGTTTATAACTTTCATTTGTTGGCCTGAAACAAAAAATACAAAAAACCAATAATCAAAAATAAAATTCAAATCAGAAGCGGAAAACGGCAGCACAGCTAAAATAAGGATAAATATTCCTTCCTCTTTTTTTTACATCCAGCTTCACCACCAATTCTACGTTTTTTGAAAGGCGAAAATCACAACCACCTTAAATGCGATTACTACAGGAAAAAAGTGTTGATAACGAAGTCACATAACTGGAAAAAAAAAAAAATTACACGTGTTCGTGGGAAAAGGTTCAAAGCCGCCATTAGGCAAACGGTCCCTCTACAATTCGTTCATTCGTTTCAATGGTATTTTCGCACTAGCACATGCCAGGGAATCAAAACTGCCATCAGCATGCTTCTAAGCAACTCCCAAAAGACACGGTCATCGATAGCCTTGCCAAGTGGTTGTTAATGCTGGCATTTGCTATCACACGAGCAACTTCCAAGTGCTTCCACTTCTCAAAAAGAATGGATACGAAGGGGTCTTTGGCTTTTTTGCCTGCTGTATTTAATGTATAGGTGAACCTGAGAAACACTGAAAGCCTTGCACCAGCAACAGGTTTTTTTACGAACAAAATTCCTTCAAGTATGAGCTTATCAGTACCCAAAGCTTACTCATTTGTTTTCCATTTCCTCGTCACTTTCCAGCAAAAGATTTCAAGAAATTTATAGCCAAAAATTCATACGAACCGTTTAAAAATACCCGTTTCCGGTGGAACCAATGCCCGGAAATAGGAATTCCATGAATTTTGATAATTTTGCACTCGCGTTTCAACAATCGCTTTCACTTTATCAGCTGCTCGACGCCAATCTTGCAAAAACCAATTAACAAACTCCAGCGGTTTCGGATTCAAATCCCAGTGTCTTCGCAGATGTCTGCAAGATAAAAAACACTGCTACAGGAAACAACGACATCCATGCCATATGACAATGGTACCTCGAGAAAATCCTTGAAATTTGCATTAATTCATCTATTAATGCTTCCCTAAATCCTTACTTTTACCAGTTCTGCGACGAATAAGACGCCGTCGCCTTACTAAAAAGTAAAATTCTCATGCAATAATTCAGATTAGAAAGAAAAAAAAAACAAAATCTTACATGAAAAATGAGGATTCGAAGCCTGCGCAACCATTGTGAGGCATATTTGGTGATACGTCTGTTGAGTGATCATTGTACTGTTTGATTATTTGTGAACGATCAAAAACACCAATCGTGTATTTCTTGTACAGATGCGCATCTTCTTGCTGCAAAAAATGGAATTTCTAATTAAAAAAAGAATAATCTGAAGCCCGTTTTCAGGTACCGCTTTTAAAATCCAGAAAATTAAGAATATCGTTTTGAACTTTTGGAAGAAATCCCGATAAGCAAGTAGGAAAAAACTGTTTGGTATCAAATGCATCAAGAGGAAATCGTTATTTGCTATAAACGTTTAAGTCTATAATAAATTTGTGAAATTTTTCATTTTCTCCCCTCCCCTCCTTCTCCCTTCCCCCAGAAGTCCATCCTGGCCCCATCTA